GCATATCATGCATGAATCATTGTGATGTATTTGTCTTGTAGACAGCAAGAGTTGTCCAATCTCGTCAGTGGTAAGAAATACCTTGAGGCTATAGCTTTGGCTATTACACTCAACCAGCCTTTTAGAGTTCTTAGCATCATTAAAGGTAACTGATCTGAAACTAAATTTTTTCCCTTTATTTAATTAAACAGGGTTAAATTATCACTTGACAAACCACAAAGAACCATCTCTAGAGGGCTAAAAATACAGTCAAACCCCACTCAATGGATACCTGCTTAATATGGACACCTTGTTATCACAGGCAATTGGCTTTGTCCCCAGGGAAAGAAAGCCCTTCCTTATATTTTCTCTAAATTCAACCCACTTTGTACCCGTGGACACTTTCTATGGCCCCCTCAGTGTCCGCTGTATTAAGGGGGTTTGACGGTAGAGTCTTAAGACAAGATGTCACACCTCAATTTCAGCATTTGTAACCATTCTGTAATAAAAGCAGAATGGAGGCAAGTAATAATGAAATAATGTCCTCAAGATTAAGTTGTCAATAACTAACTGTGGCACTGATATTATGAAGATATCTCACATTTCTTTTAACTGTCCATCCATCGTACTTTTTTTTGTAACTATAAAGGTTAAATATTTTAACAAGATGAATTTTGTTGCACTGGAGGATTGGTTACTTGTACTCAAGCTTATTTGGAAATTGAATTTAGTTGGTGATTATATGTTTGCACTTCACTGTAGATGTTCTTCTTGTTCAGAATGGGTTGGAAGAATTAACAAAGGCTGTTACATCTCTTAGGGAAGATCAGCTTGGTATGGCCAGTATTAAGTCAGTTTTTATTTTAACTAGATAAATCGCTCTAATATACTTTCTTAAAATTACGCTGAAATTATGACAGTACCTATTCTTCAATCATCAGTTTCCCTATTTATTTGAAAACTAAGCTCTAGGCTTATCTTTTTAACGACACATTTGATTTGTAATTTTAGCATTAGCCTGAATAGTATTAGTATCTGCTTAACTTATTGTTAAATGATAATGTAGTAATTAATAGTAGTTAAAGTATTGTAAAACTCCATGGACAATTAATGGAGTATGGTGCACTATAAATGCATTTTAATTTCTCATTAAGTTTACCTTATTTGTGTTGTAGATGTCGTCTTAAGGTTTCTTGTGGAATGGAATACCAACTCCAAGAATTGTCATGTTGCCCAGACAGGTGAGAATTGATTTACTATGGGTTGAAGGTATCTTTTCAACTTGTCCCTTATGAAATATTATATAATTAACAACTACAATACACAATTATTTCAGAAATATTATGATAGTACCAGTAGCTTAATTATGGGGTGTATCCTAGCTACCATAGTTTGGATTCTATTAGCTCTCTCTGAGATCTTATTTCCCCTCAGTAGTAGCCTGTTCCAGGCTCTCAGATAGTAGGGAAGGCATGAAAGAGCAGGGAGGACGTTAGCCTGGGACCAGGCTCTCCATTGGGGGAAAAAGGGTAAAAACGGGGTCAAATAGGACAAATATCGGCTCGCTCTGCTCACCGATTTTTTTTTCACCCATGCCAATTTTTTTCTCCTTTTTCCCCCAATGCGGACCCTGGTCTCAGGCTAAGAAGACGTGAAAGTGAAAGGTACGCAATAAGGGGGCAGGTTTCTTCCAATTTTATTTTCATGTTCGTGCTTTCTCATTTTCGCAGACCCAACTATCTCAGAGCCTGGAAAAGACGACCTCAGTGATGGTGCAATACCCATCCAACACCTTCCTAATTACCCTGTCAGTGTCCCAGATACAACACAAATCTCCCGATCTCCAGTGCAGGTCACCAAATGTCCCAAATAAAATCAACTTTTGAGCTATTTTTGAGCTACAGTAGTTTGTTAATAATTTCACCATTACAGTTATAATGACTCTTGATGGTGACTGTACCTCATGTAACACAAAGTATGTCCTGAGCCATGCCCATGATTTGTGTATCAGGGGAGGGCCGGGCTGATATGGGAGGGACTGTAAAAATGACAGTTTCCAGTTTTTAGATGTCCAGAGGGGTTGGCAACTCCGTTACCCCCCCTTGAAAGTTTATAGCTGAGCGAGTGACAAACTGAATTGCCAACGAGAACTACCGTAAATTGATCTGCAGTTCACAGTCAAAAATCAAATTGGTAGTTCTTTTCTTGACATGCTAAAGTTGGATGTACATGCAGCACCACTTTTATGTAACTTTAGCTGTGTATATTCTTCTTTTTAGTTTTGTCAATTATTCTAAAAAACAAGACACCATATGAGTTGATGAACAGGCCAAATATGAAAGAGACTGTGGAAGCTCTCATCCCTTACAGTGGTTTGTTTTTAGTTCACAGTAACTGTTTCTATTTAGTCTGTCTTTGTTCTGGGTGACTTGAAGGCTGTAGGGAGCAAACGTCAGTTTGACTTTGTGGGGGATCAAATTACATATAGCTCAAATCAAAGAAAAATTAAAATTAGGTTGAATTGTCAGGGTTGTGCTCTAAATTATTCTATGACTAATAACTATCACCTTAGTCAAGTTTGTGTTCCGCTTGTTTGTACAGCCAAGGGCTTTGCTGGAAACTTTTATGTCACACAACTTGTTTTAAGTCATTTACTTTCTTTTGTACTATGTAATAAAAGTTATCCCTAGCAAGGCACCAAAGGAATCAAGACCGAACGTTTTTAGAGTTAACTTGGAGTACTTCAGCAAGTTGCTGTTGTTTTTTCTCGAGCGATCATATTGGCTGCATGGAAAACAGTCTAATAGCCTGCAAATGCAGACGTATATCTGGTCGTCGCTTCACCTTCTCTCTGAAGAGAAGGGATGAGCAAAAATAGGTTTGCGTTCACAGGCTAGCAGCCTTTCAGAAGAACAGGTTATTGGACGATTGTACCAGTGAGACCAATAACAAATCCTTTTGGCCAATGTTTCAGGTGAAAAGAAAATCTACAATAGGTTGCGATCTGTTGTTCATCCTTTATGAACCAACACTTGTTCCTCTTCCTAGTAGCGATCCTCTTTAAATAAGCAATTGGATCAGGGATGTCTATTTAAGCTAACCTAATTTATTCATCATTGCAGAAAAGCACTTTCAAAGGATGAATCGGCTTTTACAGGCAAGTTTGAGCTGTAAAGTGTTAAGTTAGTTTTGTCTGTTTTGCCAGAACGTTATGCTACGAGAGTTAATATAACTTACATGTACACTTTGTGATATTGCATAAAAAATAATGCAGGTTATGTGAAAATTGGTTGAATGATCCACATTTTTGTGGCCGTGTATCAGCGTTCATTGCATTTTAAGGCAGAACATTGCAATCGCGATCACCAAAGGAGTTAATGCATATTCCAAAGCTTGATACAGTGCATGCATTATCAAAGATCTCTTGCAGATTTTTGTCATCATTGCACAAATGGCAAGTCACACCACACTTTTTTTAAATTCTTTGAAAATGACGATTGTGGTGTAACTTCACCTGTTTGAGATGCTCCAGCATGTAAACATTTTTGTCATAAATTGTCGGCAGTTTTAATTTTTTAAGACAAATGAACTTGTGTGGATCAGGACTGTAGTGTATGATGTTGCAATGATTATGGCCATTGTGAAAAAACAAACTGTCTTCAATTTGGAGTTAGGTTTGGTCTATTCCTTAATTTGCTGGCCTCTTCTTGTTCATTAGTTCTTATTTTTTTCAACAGCAAATGGAGTTCATTGAGTACACCTGGCAATCAATGAAGCTTTCAGCTCCTCTCACCAGTTTCCCTCAGTAAACATCATTTTATTGTTTATTCTTTGTCTTGTGTAATACGGTTCACTTTGCCAGTTTATGACGTATACAACTGAATGAAAGCTAGTTTAGTTGCATTTAGTTGAAATGTATTCTATTCAACTCTTACACGTAGAAGTAATTGAAACGCATGCAACATGTGACTTCATTTTATTTAAATTGATGTTTAACATTCCCCAGCAGCAGCCTTAGCTCGGACTATGGTGATATGATCAATTCATTAAAAAGTCACTGTTGTTGATTTTAGGAGCATTGGAGAACCATCACAAGCTGTATCTACTAGCAGTGGTGCTGAGGACTGCAGACTAACCAGGAGTACTGATAATTCACCAGAGGATCATCAGGCATCTGAAAACATTGATTTACCATCCTCTCCAGTGGAAGTAAACTACACAAANAGCCTTAGCTCGGACTATGGTGATATGATCAATTCATTAAAAAGTCACTGTTGTTGATTTTAGGAGCATTGGAGAACCATCACAAGCTGTATCTACTAGCAGTGGTGCTGAGGACTGCAGACTAACCAGGAGTACTGATAATTCACCAGAGGATCATCAGGCATCTGAAAACATTGATTTACCATCCTCTCCAGTGGAAGTAAACTACACAAATGGCCGACACACTGAAGAAACCTCAGAAGAAGAAGAGGAAATGAATAGAGAACACATGGCTGATGTTGAAGGGGAAACAGAGGTACGTGTCATGAAAAAGCGCAAGAAAACAAAGAAGCTTCATGAGGTATTATGAGCAGCGACAAGGATATTTGACTCCGGTGTACAACAGGGGAGGTTTATAATTTTCCCAAAGGAAAGAAGTGGGTTCAAAGCTTGTTGAAGCCCTGAATTTTCTTAAGGCTTCTTTATGCAATGTAACAAGATGAATGTAAGCTTTAATGCGCATTAATTCTGAACACCTGGAACAGGCTATTGATATTATGACTTTATTGTTGCTCTCACCAGTAGTGACTTGTTCAAGTTTTGTATGTGAAGCCACAAGATTGTCTACTGCATATGCTGGTATTTTGTGATACTAACTGAGGAACGTTTTTGTTGTTATTTATAGGAGGTTCCACAAGAAAGGAAGAAAGCCAAACATAAAATACAGCAAAAAAAGACAAAGAAAATGAGAACTGAAACCAAGAAAGAACAGCACAAGAAAAAGCGAAAAACAAAAACTGCCTAAAAATTCTTTATTAGATCTCTCTCTTTGAATTCATGTAAATTATTTTTCAAATTTGATAATGCCATGCATCAATAAATATGTTCATATGAAAATCTTAAAATAGTCTGTACAATAACTGGCATGAAGGTTTTTATAGTACCTTACAACTTGAATGTTTGATGACCCTTACATTTTTTTATGTAAACTGTGACTCTTACTTCCCCAACACAATGACATTAAACTACTTGGAAAATTAACGTACGCACAGGTGGGTTATAAGGTACATGGTTCCCCTCTGTCTATCCCACCGCTATCTCTCCACATCAGAGTTTCAATATCTGTCACATGATAATTATTATGATTTTAACAATAATGCCTAAAAGATCAACTCTGCAAGTTAAAATCCTGCCATTCCTGTAAGGTTTCGAATTCTTTCATACACAAGCCAGAATGTGAGTGACCAGGGAGCCTGAAAAACAACAACAACAAAATAATAAGGTGTTAATAGTCCTTGCTGACTGGGTGAAAGTCTAGCAAATTCAAGCAATGGTGGTCAGATAGGGTTACCAATTGTATTCATGGGGTGCTAGGACTAAGTTGTGAAAGTAATATTGTAAGATAAAACTGACTATAAAAAGCAGTCATGGTTTGCTTGATTTGCAAATTAAAACTACTAGTAATAACCTTTTACTTCTAATAGTAATGACACAAATACATTTCTATGACAGCCACCAGAGCACATCAGGGATCTCACGTATTAGTAAAATCAATAAGATGTACTATCTTGGTGCTTAGCTATTTTCCTTTTGGGCCTGATAATCGTTTTTCATTACTCCTTTCATTGATACTGTTCCCCTGTGACATGGTAGGAACGTTTTTGCTTTGTCATTTTGACATTAATTATTTCTTACCATTCTACTCCATGTTGGAAGCCATCCCTTGTACAAGGATAAAAACCCTTCCTCTCGAACCTAAGGTATGAAAAATATAGATTGTATCAGTCTGAGAGTTTCTAAGACTGTGGGTTTATTGAATTATTAACTTCCCTCTAGATTTAGGTAGTGTGCATGGGTACAGAAGATAGGTATATATTAAGTCAGCCAAGAGGGTGGGTAGAAAAATATGTGGCAATTTGGCGATTGTTAAGGTGAAAATCATCAGTGTTCTCTAAAACAGGGATGAGATGTCCAGTCATTTAATAATGTTGGTAGGTAAGTTCCATGGGTTGGTACTTTAGATGGGGTATGAAGTGTAGGTGGTGGGGTGGGAAGTGGAATCAGTGGGTAGTTAAGTGGATGGGATGCATGCAGGAAGGTAAGTAGGATGGGTAGGTTGGTGAGGTGGGCAGGAAGGGCAGGTTGGTAGGGTACTGAGCATAAAGTAGGTAGGTGAGGGAAGGTATCTTATGTTGGTGATTACCTCGTAGGTATGTAGGGAGTAAGAAGTTGGTAAGCGGCTGTCAGTTTAACTTTGTTCTTATATTTCCCTCTGTTTTACAAATTTACATTTTTGTTAATTATTATTGTTGACTCAAGCAGAAAAGAAAGTGAGCCTAGGTGATAAAATAATTATTAATTGAATCACAACAATACATACAGCACACATGAAGCAGTCAAGACTTCCTCTGTACACTTTTGGGTTATTCATAATTCTTGTTTTTACTACATCTGCTGGAGTACTGATGGTTGCAGCAATCAGCCCTGCACAACCACTGAAAAATAAATTTTTCAACCAGCACAGATTTATTATCCATTCACTTTGTGTCTTAGTTGCAATATTCATGGCCAAAACCTTTCAGCTACAATAGGCAACTCTTGCTGAGGTCATTGTTTACATTCTTCCTCGCTAGCGTTAACTCATAGAAGCAATGCCCATATATACAAACTAAATTTAAAAGTTCAAAGAGCTGATTAAATGCAATTTTCAGGAAAATATTAGAACATGCAGACCTTGAAATTGTGTGAGTGACCCAATTGTCTTGTAAACTTGTGTGATTGAGAAGTAAATGTTTTACAGTATCATAAGTTGTCAAATCTGTTGATAAAAAAATTAAACAATTGTATTAAAAACATTTAATAGCGAAAGAAAGGAACTGAAAGTACCTCAGTGGGTTAAAGAGAAATGTCATCAATCAGACAAGGTGTCTTAATTATCTCCTACATATACATCTCAACAACTGGCCCCTTTGTTCAAAAAGTGGATTATGCTATCCACCGGAAAAATCTCTATCCGGTGGATAGCGTATTGGTTTCCCCAACTTGTCCATTGGATAGTGATTTATCCGGTGGACAGTGCTACCCAATGTTTGAACAACTGAGGCCTGAAGGGCAGATGTATGCTGAACTACCACAAAATTTGGATCACTGAGAAACACTACCACAAATTGACTTTGTTTTCCTTTTAAAGTTTTTCTACAGAAATGAATGAATAAAGTTGTGTAATTACAAGGATTATAACTAAGGTGTCTTACCTCCCATGTTTACTAGAGCTGCTCTTTGTACATTGGGAGCCCATCCTTTCCAAAGACCTCGCACTCCATGTTTATTGATGATGTTTAAAAAAGCATGTTTAGTGTTATGAACCCTAGGAAGGTATTGAATAAACGTTACATTAGTTTCTAGAAATGTGAAAAATAAATCAGGCTTACATGGAATAAACATTTATGGCATTAAAATTTGCACATCTTGACATCACGAGTTACAGTCTAAGAATAAAAGGACTATTATCCACAACTACAAGGTGAGCCTTACATTTTTAGTATCACCTCCAGATGTTACTATGTACAACACATTTCAGATTATCAAATCCTCTTAAACTCATTAAACTTGGGGTACATCTCAGGTGAGGTCCCCAGCTACCTTTGTACCCTCCCCACTTCAGATACTGACTTCTTCCCCCAAAATTTATCCGATCTCCCCCAAAGCCAACATCCTTAATAGCCTCCTCTGCATGCATCACTTTCCTGTTTTAGTGAATGTGTGGAAGAATAGGGAGTGATTGTGACTCCTCCTCCAATTCTTTTCTCGTTTTCTCATTCAAACACTTCTTATGGTCAGTGTAACTGTTACAATAGAAGTTGCCTGTGGAGGAGGCGTCGGAGGAGGCTACATTTTCCTTGATCTACCCCTTTAGAGTGGCGAAATATAGTTGCACTTCTCTTCACTGCAGACACCTCCATAATACAAACAACAGTACATTGAAGACAGTTCTTGAGCCCTGGCAAGTATTTGAACAGCTGAGCTTGGTTCTATATTTCCTTTTGTTTTCCATGAGGCTGAGCTGAGGTTCATGCTCATAGTGGCGGAGGGATTTTCCTCCTCCCGGCCCTTTCCGACAGCCCCAATGGACACTTGACTTCATCCCTGTAACATCTATATTCATTAAGAAGATTGATTGTATAATAAATTATAAATTTTTAGTACCCTTTGAAAGACAACCTTAGCAAGTACTATGAGCTACATACCTAGGTTGTCTCCCTTCTATAAGAACTCTCTTGCCTTCCATCTGCATCTGAACCTTGACTAGATCAGTTGGACTGGCAATAAACTGTCCAAATGCACCAGCCGTCATCCCTGCTATTACTGACTTCCTATAGAAATTTATAATAAGAAATCCTTTCCTAGCTGTTATAAAAGAGCTCCTGCTTAGCCAGAGCTAGAGGAGCTCCTCAAACTTAACAAAGGAACACCTATTAAGCATCAAAATTTTTACTTCATGTTTACACTCTCTCATAATTAAAGGTATATATATATATGCACTTTATTTGAGTGTCAATGTATTTAGAACAAAAGTGCATCTCCAACTGGAGATGGGAGCACCATTTTACATGGTCATCCAAGCGGATGCGAAGGTCTAGCCATTTGCAGGGCAAAGGTACTACCTTCATTTCTCAGTTATTTTGAGACCCTGAGTAATGGTCCGACCCCGAGAATCGAACCCGCGACCTCCTGCTCTGCAGTCAAGCACTCTACCGACTGAGCTAATCCTGCCGTGGTATCACAGGGCAACAAAGTTAATAACACCAAGGAATCCAAAGTAGCTGGTTTTGAACCCCCATCATGACATTATGCTGCTTTTTGCACTGAACTAGTTTTGCACATGGGGCAGTGAGTCAGTACAACAGAGAAAACAATTACTGGCATATTTGGATGCAGGAAATCTATTCTTCCTACCCACTTTTTACAAAAAAAACCACTCTAGGAATAAATTAGTCCATAGAAACCAAGCCAAAAAACCAGTAAGCTCTGCATAACCTGTCACTTGACTATAATTACATACCATAGAGAAAATCTCCCATCAGCATTTCTTCGTAAAACTTTGTTCCGCAAAAATTCATATGCAGTCATTCTTGAACCCGTGTAAACTAAGGGACGAATTACGATCAACGCATGAATACCACTTATTCAAGGGTTGGAACTTATTATAAGTACCTTTTTTGTTCCAAATTCAGTGCTCATTCTTGGGTGGTGCTCAATAGAAGCAGAGTTTATTTGAGTAAAACAGTAGTCATATTACAGTCTGCATTCAAGGTACGAAAGTTATGGTTGTGTTGAAGTTAAGTCAGTAGACAATAATTGTACTTATTATGAGTATACTCTGATAATTATTATTTCACCATTTCAGTGAAGTCCTTCTTGATCAGATCCATTAACCCCGGGGGAGTACTTGGGTTAATTTTTGCAGGGTATGTGCTGCTGGGCTCTCAGCAACATGACTACCCCATTATAGTCTATTTTGTGGCCAATTATAGAACCCATCTTAGTCACTTTTGCGCAAATATGTAATTTTTACGATCCCAACTTAACCACTTCCTATTTTTATGAATTGACCCATTTTTTAAATGGAATGAAAAACACTTTATAATTTTTTAACCTACAGTACAAACATTCTAGTGCATTTGCTAACAGTAAATAGAAAGAACTGTCTTACCCCAAAAAATCGGAAAATGTGCGACCCCATTCTAGTAACGCTATTGAAAAGGCGACCCCATTATAGTCAACCCAGTCCTCAAAATGCAACCCCATCGAGCGGCACATTCCCATTAGCCTCTTATAAGGAAGTACCCCCTCCCCCCCGCCCCCCAGGGCCATTGACCCTCCAAGTCCTAAGGGTGACTAATGTAGAGAACTGGAACTAGTTAGAATAATATCGAAAAGGACTGGCTCTAGCCAAGATGATGTAATCGCAAGATGGCGGAAAACGCCACCGACACGTATTAAAAGAGTTAGAAGTTTGGAGTAATTTGTGGTTGATTTAGGCGTGTAGTCTAACAAAATTGGCGACCCTGCCAGGACTTGTAACCCGACGAAGATGAAACACTGGATGGAACGTTTCTGGCGATCGATTTTGGTATGTTTTTGAGCATATTTGTGTCTCTCATCGCTTTGACCACGTGCTTCCACTGCCCGCCATTGTCAATCGGAAACATCGGAACTGAGGCCTTGCCGATGATGGCAGAAGATCTTCAATTGGAATTACAGTCTAGCATCTATGCCGCGGACTGGAGCTCACTCGAGCGAATGGCCAAGTTCTTCAAAGTTGAATATGAGGGAAAAACAAAATTGTTTGTGGCGAAACGTGTTGCTCTACGGCTCGATGATGAAATTGAAAAACTGAAGGAAGCCGAAGTCGTGCCGTACCTCAAGGACGTAAAAGAAATGCTGACAGAGAAACCCCATGGCATCAAGAACGATGAAGAAGATGGTAAGCCAGTTCTAAGTGATTCAAAACCTCCTCCCGTAGCGAAGGAAGATCCTGTTCAAAAACTACTAGCGACTAGCGCGTTACGTAGACAGTTTAAGATCAGTGGTCAAATCGGGGAACCCGAGCAGAAAGACAAAATTAGTTTTTCTTCCCTTATGCGTCAAATTCAAATGGGGTTGGCCCAAGGTTATGGCGAGAGTGAAATTGTTGATGGTGTTATTCGCTCAATTACACCTGGCATGGTACTTAGGAGTTACCTCGAAACTTACGAAGATTTGACATTGGATCGGTTAAAGAAAATTCTCCGTAGCCACTATGGTGCAAAGAATACATCAGAACTCTATCAAACACTGGCATCCCTATGTCAGAGCCCAAAGGAGTCACCCCAGGCATTTTTGATGAATGCTCTTGATCTGAGGCAACAAATCCTGTTTGCATGTGGTGAAGAAGAAGGTGAAATATCCCTACAGTATGACTCTGGACACATACAACGTCTGTTTCTTCGGTCAGTAGAAACTGGTTTACAGGATGAAAGTATTCGTGCTAAGATTCGCCCATTCCTGAAGGACTCAAATGTGACAGATGAAGTGTTGATGCAACAGATGAGCATGGCTACGTCAGCAGAAAAGGAAAGGGACAAGAAGCTTAAGAATAATACCAAGACCAAACAACCACCATTATCAGTGTCTGCGGTATCTGATGGCCCACCTAAAGAAAAGGAAGGAGGCAAGAAGAACAGCCCTCAGAATGATCTTCTAACAGCTATAAGTGCAATCAAGTCAGAAGTCGAGGCATTGAAAAGCGAGGTCAGGAAGAACAGCAATCAAAGTGTACCTCCAGGCAAGTGGCCAGAGAGAAGAAGACCACCTTTGTGTTCAAGCTGCCTCGAGAACAGAAAGGAATATTGCAATCACTGTTTTAAGTGTGGGAGCGAATCTCATCTGGCAAGGGGATGCAGGAAGCAGTTAAACAGGAATCGACTGCTCCCGCGAGACAGGAAGCAGTCGTAAACCCACCAAAGTCTCACCAATGTAGCCACTGTTGTAAAACCGGAGTAGAGCATGGACAACTTAAAAGATGTAGTCAGTGTCAGAGTGTATGGTATTGCACCACGCGATGTCAAAAGGGACACTGGGCTGAACACAAGGTGTTGTGCCAAGCAATAAGTCATCTTTCTGAGGCGAGTACAAGTAAGTCAAAAGAGTTTGTAGACCCAGCCTGTGTCAGTCATTTAACTCCAAGTGAGCATGCTAAAGTTATTGGCCTTGTTGGCAAGAAGTGTATGGTGAAGTGCTTGCTCAATGACTATGAATGTGAAATGTTATGGGACACTGGTGCCCAGGTTTCAATAATATCAGTCGACTCTGTCCAAAGATGCTTAGGACAAGTAGCCATTAGACAGTTGTCAGAACTCTTGGAGACAAGCCTTAGCCTAACAGCAGTGAATGGGTCTCAAATACCCTACATTGGGTGGGTGGAAGCCAGAGTTATGCTAACTCCTCCTGGTAGTGATAGCAATCAAGAGGAACTGTTAGTGCCTTTTCTAGTGACATCAGAAAAGTTGGACTGTCCCATTTTGGGATACAATGTCATTGAAGAGTTAGTAAGTCAGGACCAGAATCCAAACCCAACAATTTACAAGAGTTTCCCTGGAACAGATAAGACAAAAGTAGATGCCTTGGTAAATTTCATTCAGAGTTCAAGTTCAGATGCCATTTGTAAAGTGAGGACGGGAAGGAGAGATGTGGTGATACCAAGGGATAGCATGATAACTGTTGGCTGCCGTGCAACTACAGGACCAGTAAACAAGCTAACACCAGTACTGTTTGAGCCAAATGAATTGGCACAGTTACCAGAGGGTTTAGAAGTTAATGGAACTTTGTTAAATGTCAAACCAGGAAAGTCATCTAAGGTACAGATTGCTGTACACAATGGGACAGACCATGATATTCTGCTTAAGAGTCGCACCCCGTTAGGAGTCCTTCAGGCAGTCAAATCAGTGACAACAGCAGATGTTAGACTGAGTGAATGTAGAACCCAGAATGACCAGCAATATTTTGAGAAACCTAAACCTCAGGGACCCACCACCCCTGCTGAGCAGCAAAACAAAGAAAATGAAAACCCACTTCCGGCAGTTGATCTCGGTGATTTGGATCATGACCAGCGGACTGCAGCTGAAATGATGCTGAGGGAAGAGTACGAGTCATTCTCATCCAATGAAGAAGATATTGGCTGCATCCCTGATCTGGAAATGGAGATTAATCTGCATAATAACCAGCCAGTGCAAAAGAAGTACACGTCAATTCCTCGACCACTGTATCCGGAGGTGAAACAGTACATTGAAGACCTTCTGAACCAGAATTTCATCACTGAATCCAAGTCCCCATACTCCTCTCCAGTTGTCTGTGTTCGCAAGAAGGATGGGTCTCTAAGGCTATGCATTGACTATCGAGAACTAAATCGCAAGACTATTGCTGACAGACATCCCATTCCTAGAGTCCAAGAGACCTTGGATAGTCTTGGCGGAAATAAGTGGTTCAGTGTACTTGACCAGGGTAAGGCGTATCATCAGGGGTTCGTAAACAGGGACAGTAGAGCAGCGACAGCATTCATTACACCGTGGGGGCTATATGAATGGGTAAGGATCCCATTTGGATTGATGAACGCACCTGCGAATTTCCAACGGTTTATGGAACGTTGTTTGGGTGAACTAAGGGACAAAGTGGCTATACCGTACCTCGATGACATCATAGTATTTAGTAGGACATTTGCAGAACACATCGAGCATCTGAGAACAGTATTGCGAAAGTTACGAGCACATGGAGTCAAGTTGAAGCCGCGCAAGTGTAGTTTGTTCAAACGCGAGGTCAAGTTTTTAGGAAGAGTTGTGTCAGGTGATGGTTACCAGATGGATCCAGGGTGTGTACAAGCTATCGAGAAGTTAAAGGAAGTAACACCCAAAACTGTTGGTGAAGTAAGACAGCTTGCAGGAATACTAAGTTACTACCGAAGGTACATTAAAAACTTTGCTAAAATTGCGAAACCGATCTATGACTTGCTTACCAGCACAGGACAGGATGGACAACAGCCCTCAAAGACGCCAATCGTTTGGGGAAGAGAACAGCAACTAGCCCTCGAGAAGTTAGTGGGACACCTCAGTAATCCACCCATTATGGCTTATCCAGATTTCTCAAAAGCATTTACTCTCCACACCGACGCAAGTAAAGACGGTCTCGGGGCAGTGTTGTACCAAAACCAGGATGGGGTCATGCGAGTTATTGCTTATGCTTCACGAGCGCTGTCACCAGCTGAGAAAAAGTACCACCTTCACGCAGGAAAACTTGAGTTTCTTGCTCTAAAATGGGCAGTGACTGAACACTTCCGTGACTACCTTTACTACTCGCCAAAGTTTACTGTTTTCACTGATAACAACCCCTTGACATACATCCTAACATCAGCGAAACTGAACGCCACTGGTTTACGGTGGATTAATGAATTAGCCGACTTCCATTTTGAGATCAGGTATCGACCAGGAAAAGCCAACGCAGATGCTGACACCTTGTCTCGTATGCCAATCAGTTTTGAGGGCTATATGAAAAGTTGTTCGGAAGTAGTTAATCAGGATGTTCTGGATGCTGTCACATCTTCAGTCCATGTAACTAACACCCCCCAGACCGCCTGGTTGTCATCTCTCACCGCAGTACACGACATGTTAAAGGAAGAGCGTGTAGACATTCCAACTCTGCCACGTGATGAACTTGTCGCAGCTCAGCAAGAAGATCCATCAATTGCTCGTGTTTTACAGTTTATTCAAATTGGAAGGCGTCCCACCTATCAGGAAAGGCAGCAAGAGACAGCTATTGCCCGACAACTCTTACACGAATGGAATAAACTGTTTATTGCTGAAGATGGAATCCTTTATCGGAAAACTGGGTGTGGAGACAAAATGGTTTTACCCAAGAAATACCACAAAAGGGTGTATGAAGAGCTACACGAAAACATGGGGCACTTGGGTGCCGACAGAGTAGTGGAACTAGCTAGAGAACGCTTCTATTGGCCGTTTATGAGAGCAGACATCACCCATTATGTCACAAAAGTGTGTCGTTGCCTGAAGCAACGTAAACCCGCAACTCATGTCCACGCACCACTTCAGCCTATCCTCTCCACAGCACCTTTCCAACTCGTCTCCATGGACTATGTTCATCTCGAACCAAGCTCGGGTGGATACCAGTACATATTGGTAATCATGGATCACTACACCAGATTTGCCCAAGCATACGCCACCCGGGATAAGTCTGCGAAGACCGCTGCCAACAAACTGTATAATGACTTTATCATGAGATTTGGGTTTCCAGGAACCATTCATCATGACCAGGGCGGAGAGTTCGAAAACAAACTCTTCTACAACCTTGAGAAACTGAGTGGGATCAAACATTCGCGGACAACCCCCTACCATCCACAAGGGAATGGGCAGGTTGAAAGGTTCAACCGAACACTTCTATCAATGCTGAGAGCCCTGCCAGAGAAACAGAAATCCCGTTGGCGTGACCATCTCAATAAAGTAGTCCATGCATACAATTGCACTCGCCACGACTCTACTGGATTCTCACCTTTCTATCTACTATTCGGTAGGACGCCAAGGCTACCCATCGACCTAATGTTTGGCTTGAAACCTCCAGAGGGATATTCTACATACCCTGAGTATGTTAAAAATTGGCGAAGAGCCATGAAAGAAGCTTACGAACTAGCCTCCGCTCATGCAAAGAAAAGTGCAGACATGGGGAAACAACAGTATGACAAGAAAGTTAGACATACCACGCTACGTGAAGGAGACCGTGTTCTTGTGCGAAACATGACGGAGCGTGGTGGCCCAGGAAAGTTACGCTCTTATTGGGAGCAAGAAATCCACGTTGTTACTCAAAAGAGGGAGGATATGCCAGTTTACGAGGTAAAACCAGAGACTGGTAATGGAAGGACAAGAGTTCTGCATCGCAACCTGCTGCTACCATGTTCCTTTCTACCTGTTGAGATACCACCTAAGCCATCCAAGAGTCGTCGCACGATGCCCAGGACAACCCGAAGACAGCAGGAGCTACAAGAGAACACAACCAGAACCACTGATGAGAACATCCCTGGGTTAACACCTGGTCAACTTCAAGAATTTTACGAGTCTACGAGGAATCATACTGAAGACAATTGCCAAATTGTTCCAGAGTTAGATGAACACGACACTTACCCTTGTCAAGTTGATGGTCCAGGCTCAGAGGGAGAGGCTGAAGACACAGAGCAACCAAGTGGTGCGTTCGATGATGAAGCTGTAGATGGTGTACCTCTAAGACAGTCACAGCGCGTAAGCAGACCACCCCTCAGGATGACCTATGATGCAATGGGACAACCCTCCTTTCAACCCAGTTCCACAACAGGAATTCGCGGCATCACAGCATCATATCCACACCAGTTATGGCAGCCTGTCCCGGTATCATGGATGGTGCAACAACCTGTCTTTCAGCCCTTCAGTTATTTTGTACCTTTCCCAGTACACGTTCAGCCGATGTATCCTGTGCCTGCGTGGCGTTACCAGCAAGCCTGGTGGCATTAACTTGAAGAGAAAGGAACTGATTTGGACCAATTGAAATTACGTTCGTTTAGATAAGACGGATAAATGTTTAGTATAGTATAACTCACATGTCGTTCGTTTTTAGAGGTACAACCTTGTTTTATTAGGATTTTTTTTTTTTCTCGATCTCTACATGTTCTTTGTACGGGCAAACAATCGATATAGGCGCGTTATCGAACAGTACAGTGCAGTAAAGATAACACAGTAACATTTGGGCAACTTAAGCGAACATTCTGGCCTGATCAACCAGGATAACTTTGTTGACCCAATAATGAGATACAAGAATACGAGGAACTGTTACACGAGATAACCCACAAGAGACTATGGTCTATCCGTTCATGTTGAGGACAACATCTTTTTCCAGAGGGGGAGAATGTAGAGAACTGGAACTAGTTAGAATAATATCGAAAAGGACTGGCTCTAGCCAAGATGATGTAATCGCAAGATGGCGGAAAACGCCACCGACACGTATTAAAAGAGTTAGAAGTTTGGAGTAATTTGTGGTTGATTTAGGCGTGTAGTCTAACACTAACATCAATTTTCTTAATATTTATTCGTTGTTTGAAACCCACACAACAGAAGGTATAAATCTGTCAATTCCAGGCTGGAAGGTTCCAAGAATAAATTATAAAAAGATCACCAAAGTGCTTGATCTTTTCAACAGATTCTCTCAACAAATATTTCAAGAAAATGTATGGAGATCTGCCCAGAGAACTTGTTGATGGAAGGTTTAATTCTTATATTTACAGTGAGCTGATGCAGGACATGAAAAAAATAACGTCGTAGTGTTTGGTGAGATAAACTTACCAACATGTCTTAATATTGCAGGTGTAACACCACTCCAGAGATTAACCAATCCTTCCTCCTCAACTGTCCACAAAACAACAAAGATCACACTTTTAATTAATACTGTTCCATTAAGCAATATTCATCCAATCTGCTTTTTTTACACACTATGTTATATTTACATTTAAAGTATATGACTGAAATATATCCATACCACTTTTTTCTGGTGTAATTTTTAAAAATATTGTTTCTACTTCTGGCCGCAGCTTCAGTATACTCACCTATACCCACTGCTGTCCTTACCATACCCCGGTAAGGAACATTTGTTGCTGTTGTGGAAGAAACAGTCGATGCCCTTTCTCCTTGAATCTGAAGACGGGTCTTGGTGATATCGAGAGGAAAGGTCACTTATAAAAAATAAAATTCAAAAATAATGTCAAAATTTCAGCAAAGTAGTCTGTAAATGAGCAAAATGCAACCACCAGTCTTACTATCTAACAACTGTAACATTTCCCTTTCTGTAGGCAAAAATGGTATCCTCATATCTTGGGAGGTTACTTACATTTGTTTTATTATCATGAGAAATTTGTTTGTATTTTCTTAAAGATGAAGGGATTTAATGACAAAAGCAATCATTTATTGGTCTAGCATGTGGTTTAAAGGGTTCACCAGACCGAGCTAGGATAAGTCTGCTACACAGACGAGGAATGCATGACAAAGCCCCAAGAATGTCTGTATAGGAGACCACGGAACGGTGCGGGAACGGAAGAGCACTCCCTTTTTTCAGCTATGCAGTTATTTGCAGCATCAAAGGGTATGGTGTTAAAGCTTTTAACTGTTACAATCTGAAAAAGAGTGTGATTTGGGAAGGCTCATATTCTTCTTTACTTTTACTATTCTCTTAAGAAGAGCACTTTGAGTGCAAAGTGAATTCCTTCTCAAAATTAATGTTTACACAGGTTTTTCTGATCCAGACTATCTGGGAAATTATATGTACCTGAACATGCTCCAATGGTCTAGTCTGAAACAGGGTGGGGGAATCCACAAATTTTGTTGTGAAATAGGATTAAGGTTTTAGAAAGCATGCCAAATATGGACACACTTAAATTTTTAAGACTACCAACCCTGTGCACAGCTGGTTGGTGATGTAATTAAAAACTCAGATTAAAAGCTCAATGCAAGAGAGCTGTAAGCAACGTAGTGGGACCCCACCTACTTTATAATACAGCATTCTTGCATTAAGTGAAAATATAGCACTGTTACCCAAAATAAAAAGAAAAACAGCTTGTATTCTCTGACAAGTTTTGAGTCCAAGGAACAATATTCTATATTAAACCTCAGAGGGACCTTGTCACTTGCAAATCATAATCATGTGAATTGTTGATATAAAGTTCTTAATTTAAAGTCTTTCCAAATAAACAGTAGTGAAAAATAAGGTTCATATAAAGAACGTCTCATCACGTGAAAATGTTCTATTCTTCTTCTTTTCTAGCAAACTATTAATTGAGTTATGGCTCGCAGCTGTTAACTTGACATGAAAATAAACCTAAAATGACTTGTATTGTTTCGTTTCTTTGAGTGACTCTCTTTAAAAGAACAAAGGAAGAAAACTTAACACATTATAAATTTATATTTTCAACCTTTTTTTTTAAGAAACATTAAACATTTAACTTGTTTGTCCCCATAACCACAAAATATTATTTCAATTCTTGAAAAGCAATATGATTAGATTCATGAACGATTAACTTTTACTGATACGACTAACTATAAACTAACTTGATGTTGAAAGAAAGCATTGTTAGTCAACAAAGTATAGAATTAGATTTATACCAAACGTGAAGATCAAAGGTCGGTTTTAATTCAATTCTAGGTTCTCGTTCAACAATTCAGGATTACACTTGAAAAAATAATCTTTAAAATTTCCATGTAAATATCTATATATATGATTTATTTAAAAAACGTAATTTCACAGCTAGCCGAGGTTTAGAATTGGAGTAAATAAAGCTTAAATATAAAATTGAAGTCTTTTGTTGAAAACACTCTTGTGGCTCGAAGAGTGTCTCCCCTGCAGAAACACGGCCACGATCAGATAATATCATGTGATATGTGCCACGTAAGTATTCTAACTTGTCTCTTAAAGATATGACAACCAACACTATTTATACCTGTCTCTGCAACAGTGGCGGCAAGAGAAGACAAGCAGTATTTGTACGCAAAACTGTTGATTCCCTCAGCCATCATATAACATGACACAGCGAAACTTAAAAACGAGCAGGGATTCCGATTCGACTTTATACCATGGGACAAAAGACCGCTGACAGTGGAAATAGGAAGGTCCGAGGGCGTCCTGGGGGTGTGCCACATTCTGTGTGTCACACAAACGACAAATAATTATGTCACATACCAATCGAAGAGCAAATACAGCCCCTCCATGTATAAGCCCCTCCAAATATAAGCCCCCCAAAATCGTAACGCAAAAAACCCTCAGTTAAATCGCCCCTCCGAATATAAGCCCCCCGGGGGCCTTGTACTTGGTATTTGCCCTCGAATACAAAGTAAAACAAAGCAAAATTGGTAAATTTCCTTTCTACTACAATCTAGCCCAACCGATTTTGTAACGCAAATTTCCCCCCGTGCATAAGCCCCTGCAAATATAGGCCCCTCCAAAAATCAAGCCCCTCATAAAGGGCCTTTGAAAAATATAAGCCCCAGGGCTTATTTTCGGAATTTTACGGTATTCAACTAGCCTGCGTGGCAGGCGTTAAGAGGGAATTTGGGTGCGCGAGAGCGCGTGGGGCGCGTGGGTCTCGCGCCCGAATTCCCTTCCCCTTCCCTTTCGAACGCCTGCCACGCAGGCTAGTATTCAACGAAGCCATTATTTGAATCGTCACGCAACGTTCCTCTCCAAAATATATTAGATCAGGAGCCGATTACTGATTAGATGTAACAGATGCGATGGACTGTACTAAGGTGTAGTACTAACGACAGACGTCAAGGAAATGGCAAAAGAATTTGACACGACGGAGTCGGATTCGTAAGCGGAGTCGGAAGAGCGCTTATGACCTTGTGAAAATGAAAAATCGAAGTCGTAACCCGGGTGGGGTACTCCCTTATATAAGCCATATAGGTATGTGCCGCCCCATCGGGTAGGGTTTTGGCGCTGTTTTGGTCTGAAAACGGGTATACACTTTGCCTATTTTGGTCAGGTCAGGATTTGAAGAACCGGGCGGTACACCCCCACGAAGAATTACCAGGGGTAACCCCCCCCCCCCCCGGGAGTCGTAAGCGGAGTCATAAGCTCGACGGAATCGGAGTTGGAAGAATCAGAACGTTTCCCTTTTCTTCCGACTCCGCTTATTAGTGAAAACCAGCCTTAAGGATTCCACGTACAGGATGAGCTAAGTCGGTGGAGCGCTTGACTGCAGAGCGGGAGATCCCGCGGGCCGGATCATTACTCAAGGTCGTAAGCAAAGTTCTAAGCTTTTTTAGAAAAATCCACTTTTATGCATGAAACAACCGAATCTGGCTATTTAGTGTAAAATCAGGTGAAAAATAAATTGGCAAAAGGTGGCTTTTAGGTTTTTTAATTAAAATAACTTAGAAATGAAGGTACTGCCTTTGCTTCTGCCTTCGCATGGTTAGGATGACCACGTAAAATGTCATTTCTGACGAATGAGCCCGCGAAGAAGGCTGAAATAAATATTTTGACGGCACGAGAAACAACAGGTCCATGGGTAGTCATACCAGGGGTATACATATAAGGCTGTGTTGTGGACGTCAAAGAAATGTACTAAAAAAGGTGATACACGTGCAGAGCCGTTGTTTTGTTCCTAAAACTTATTGCTTTTTGACGTTTTCGTTGTCGTCGTGGATGCTTGAGCTTTCTAATATCGATCTTAAGCTGACCCTAAATTGATACATTTGCCTTCATTAATATGCATAATTTGGGCGCCGAAAATCACTGAACCGGAACTGGAACATTTAAGTCACGGGTGATATCATAACCGAAATACCGAACAAGGAAGTGACGTACACACACGCAAAAACTGGAACGATCTAAAACTTGTCAAACCGGTTAAACCAACCAAAATAGTAGGAGACGTTATGTTGATGTATTCCCCCTACAAATTACCAAGATTGCCCCGCAAAAAAGGGTGGATAATTCGACGCGCCCTATACTACTAACAAGAAATCTCCTGTCAGTCAAATATCTCCAGTTTATTCACTCTCGCCTGTAGTACAAACCATTACAACAACACATTTTCAAGGCTGGCACCTTTTCCATTCAATATTAGCCAACACAGCAACGGAATAAGTCGTTTTTTTGTACTGACACCAAAAAGTGAAACTTTCATCGTTTAATTTATTACGCAAATATAAACTAAAAAAAGCAATTCATCGACAACTCTTAGAGTTTTTCTTGCTGAAGGATGACCATGTTGACACTCCCTGCCATTTATACAATATTGAAATAACTGATTAATCACGCATATACAGCTGCAGTCTAAACATCGAATTTGAAAGTTCCCCCTCTCTATACACGTTTTTTCTTACTTTTTTTCTTGCAATGTCTGCAGATACACATATTTGCGGTTCAGTACGAAATACATGTATTATTTGTGGATAAAAAGTTCTTTTTGTTTTGTTGTAGTCGATATTATTACTTGCCACATGGACAAGACTTTCAGGTTTCCGCGACAATATGAGGTCAATGGCTTTCAGACGTAGAGCTCGTTAATTGTCATACCCGGAATCTGATACTCTACAGCTGATTAGCAATCAAACGAATT